CACTGAACATCCAAGGTATGGACATTGAGACTGTGGACAGCTACAGGTACCTTGGTGTTCATCTGAACAATAAACTGGACTGGACTCATAACTCAGACGCTCTCTAAAGAAAAGAGACTCACGGTGTGGGACAGAGCAGGCTGTACCTGCTGCTGAGGTCTTTGGGAGTGAAGGGCCCACTCCTGAAGACCTTCTATGACTCTGTGGTGGCCTCAGCCATCTTTGCTGGTGTAGTCTGCTAGGGCAACAGCATCTCCTGGGCCACCACTGTTCTAGGATGCCCTCTGGACCCAGTGGAGGTGGTGAGTGACAGGAGAAGCTTTCATCCTTGATGGACAACATCTCCCACCCCATGCAGGAGACTGACAGCACTGAGCAGCTCCTTCAGTGGCTGCAGCACCCACGATGTGGGACGGAGAGACTTCGCAGGTCTTTCCTCCCCACTGTTGTCAGACTCCTGAACAAAGACTTCACAACTGACCAAACACACACATCCACACATGCACAATAACACCAAGTGTAAATTTTTTTCCGGTAAAAAAAGAATTTAATAGAATGTATATAGTATCTTATTCTTATTATCTTATCCCAGTCCATTGTTTTTCTTCATCTTTGCTGTAACTTGTACTGTCCACTTTCTGCTGTGACACAACAAATTTCCCACATGTGGGACTAATAAAGCTTATCTTATTTTACATGTGAGCTTTTAATGAAACCACAAAAGAGTTCAATGTGAAGATTCATTTTTACCGGTTCTCAGGAGGATGTGTGGATAAAGGAAATGGGAAAATAAGAACATTCTGACCAGATGGAGACTAGCACAAAATTATAATAAATAAACAATACAAGGCGAGTGGTTATCTGATGTTATGATTATCATTATTATTATATCATAATCTTGTTTTCTAATGTATTCTGATTATGTACAGGGGTTTAGACTTGTTAGTTCTTAGGGTTTGGATTCTGTGCTCCTTCTTTTTAGTGTCTGCCCGTGTGTTTCCTCTGTTCTCCGTCTGTACCGTGTCTTTAAATCCAGTCTATGTATGTCCTGTTTTATTTTGAAGGTCTGATGTCAGTGTGTTCCGTGCACCCTCCCAGTGTCGTCATGTTAATTACGTTCAGCC